GGCCCGCAGCAGGCAGCGCCTACCCATGGGCCCGAGTCTGTCTCCCGATAGCTGGTCAGGCCGTGCCCTTCCCACTGCAGCCGCTGGGGAGGGAGCGGCTGATAAGGAGCCTGACTGACGCCAGCCTGCCCCCGCCACCCCGGGCTGTGCCCCCAGAGGCTGGGCTTCTGCGCTCAGCCTGCCTCCTGCCTGCCCCGCCACCTCCCTCATGGCGCTTCCTCCAGGAAGCCTCCCAGGGGTGCTGGGGACCACGGCCAGCTACCCCTTTGCCTGGCTCCCTGTGCTTCTTCCCCCCACTGCTTGTTCATGTCCTCGTAGAAAACAAGGAAGATGTGGGAAGGTCACAGACGATCACGGGGACCACCCATCTGTCCCTTTCGTCCAGGGATGTCTCCCCCGTCATCTCTGCCGGCTCTGGCACACACCTGGGTCCTACTTGGCTTGCCGTCCTGTCGCGTTCTCTCGGAGCAACTCCCCAGCCTGGTGCCTGGGGCCGAGGGTCGCCCTCTGCTTGGCATCACAGTCACGGGCCCACCACCAGGCTCGGTCTCCTGTGTCCCTACGACGAACGTCTTTGAACACGAATCCTGTCTTTGTTTCTGGATAAATCTGTTCCGTGGGCTAAGTCCCTAGGAGGGGTCAGAGGCATCAGCCGTTCTAACGACCCCATGTCGCAGTACCACACTGCTCCCAGGCCAGCGTACATGCCCACCCCTGAGATGAATGAATGGACGAGCCCGTGACTGAACGCACATTCCCGGTGCGCAGCGTCTGCTCAGGGGAGGCCGGCTCTGCTTCCTCCCACTGGCTGGGGGGCCGGGGGCGGGCAGGCAGCGTGCCCCAGGCCTGCCCTCTCCGCCCGCCCAGATCTACCTGCACCTGCGCTCCTACACGGTGCCCAACGAGCAGCGGTACATCATCCGCCTGCTGCTGGTCGTCCCCGTCTACGCCTTCGACTCCTGGCTCAGCCTCCTCCTCCTGGGGGCCCAGCAGCACTACGTCTACTTAGACTCCGTGCGGGATTGCTACGAAGGTGAGTGCCGCCGGCTCTCCAGGGCCCGCGGAGCGAGTGAGTGGCTCCCGGGGGCTTGCACAGCCCCTGCCAGTCTGAGCCCGGCTTAGCGAGGGCCCCGCCGGATGGCCAGATCAAGGGTGCCAAGGAGACTCCCGGGGTCCCAAGGTGGGGGTGGGGCTGCAGCTGGGCCTGCCTGGAGCCTGGGAGGGGTCGCGGACCGGGGTGGGGCGTCAGAGGCGCGGGGACTGCTGTGGGCCCCACCGCCCCCACCCCGGGGGCGCCCCAAGGCGGGCTGCAGCCCCGTGATGGCTGGGTCCGCGTGTGCCGGGCAAAGGCCGCGCAGGATGCCTGCGGGGCCGCGGGCACCGAGGTCGGCCCGGGCTCACGGCCCAGCAGCCTTTGTCATCTACAGCTTCCTGAGCCTCTGCTTCCAGTACCTGGGGGGCGAGAGCGCCATCATGGCTGAGATCCGGGGAAAGCCCATCCGGTAAGCATCTGCCCAGAGCCCGTGGGTGCCCCACACACCAGTGGTCAGCCAGGCCACTCTGGGGGTGTCCTCCGGGGACACGCCTCAGGGACTCCTGCACCCCAGGACCAGCTGCTTCCACGGCACCTGCTGCCTTCGGGGCATGACCTACTCCATTGGCTTTCTGCGCTTCTGCAAGCAGGTGAGTGCCTGGGCCCCCCCCCCCCGGCAAGTCCCCCACGGCCCCTTTGCGCCCAGCATGCTGGGCTGGCTCCTCACCAGCGGCCCCCAGCCACCATCCTCAGCCCCTCCCCGACCCCCAGGCCACGCTGCAGTTCTGCATTGTGAAGCCCATCATGGCCTTGGTCACCATCGTCCTGCAGGCATTCGGCAAATACCACGACGGGGACTTCAAGTGAGGCCCGGCTGGCATGCGGGTGGGGTGGGGGGCACCCTCGGGGGGCAGGGGCAGGAGGTAGGGCTCAGCACAGGGGGAAGGGCCGGGGGCAAGGCTGTGGCAAACAGACCCTTGTCACAGGTGGGCCCTGGGGACCCCAGGGCTTCGCAGCCCCGACAGCACAACCCCCAGACAGTGAGGATGGATTTAAGGGCAGCGGGGAGCCAAGCTCCGCCCTTGCATATGCCCCCTGGGCCAGGCCCACAGGCACGTCTCACACGCATGCGCACTCGTGCTCACATGTGCACACATATGCTCACACATGCATGGGTGCAGACACACACTCACACAGGGCAGTGCACACATGCATGTGCACACATAAGGCTCACGCGTGCATGCGCACACGGTCACATGCACAGCAACGCCCGCACACAACGTGGGTCTGCCTTGCGCAGGGCTGTGCCCGCGACAGGAGGCTGGAGAGGGACAGCGGGGCCCCTGCCTGGAGGGGACGGGATCTGGAGACCAGCGCGCCCAGCTCCTCAGCCACCCCGCCTGGGTGCCCCGTGCGGCCCTGGAGGGGGGCCCGGGTCTGGTCTCTGCGGTGCCCAGGCCGGGGGCTCAGGCCACTGGCGCAGCAGGTGGGGCGGGGTGGGCACAGGGCCGTGGCCGCCCTGACGGGCTCCTGCCCCGGCCCCCAGTGTCCGCAGCGGCTACCTGTACGTCACCCTCGTCTACAACGCCTCAGTCAGCCTGGCGCTCTACGCCCTGTTCCTCTTCTACTCCGGCACCAGCGAGCTGCTGCGACCTTTCGAGCCCGTCCTCAAGTTCCTCACCATCAAGGCCGTCATCTTCCTCTCTTTCTGGCAGGGTGGGTGGACACGGCCCCGGGTGCCCTCAGGCCCAGCCCCACCCCCAGCTGCAGCCGCCGCTGTCAGTGGGCGGCCCTCTTAGCAGGGGAGACAGCGAGGACCCCCTGGCAGGTGGGGCCTGATGTGGGGAGACAGGACGCCCAGAGGGGTGCAGGAGCCCTGCGCCCACCAGCCCCTGGGCACTCCTGGCCCCCACTTCTCAGAGGACAATGAGCAGCTGGGGCCGGGGGAGAACAAGACAGGCCCTCGGGGGATTCTTGATGCCCGCTGTGCCAAGGACCCCGCACGGAGGTGCCCAGTCCCCCTGAACTGAGCTCAGACCCTGCAGACCCCCCAGGCTCACGCGGCCTCGGCAGGGGGGTGGTCTTGGCTGGGGTCAGCTCCTGTCTGGCCTCCTGTCCGGCGCAATTGACTGAGCGGCCGCACCACCCCCAGGGCTGCTGCTGGCCATCCTGGAGAGGTGTGGGGTCATCCCCGAGGCCCAGGCCATCGACGGGAACACGGTGGGGGCCGGCACGGTGGCCGCTGGGTACCAGAGCTTCATCATCTGCATCGAGATGCTCTTTGCTTCCATCGCCCTGCGCTACGCCTTCACCTGCCAGGTGTACTCGGAGAAGAAAGAGCACTCTCCAGGTATGCAGGACCCGCAGCCCCAGGGTGTGGAGCCCCTGGACCGTCTTGAGGGCAGGGGTGCTGAGGGGGGCCCGAGCAGCCCCCTGAACCATGCCTGTGTTCCCCATCTCACCCTGGTGGGCAGGGAGACGGCCCCAAGGTGGGCCCGAGCCCCCGACAGGAGCCTCACCTGCTCACGGTCCAGGGGAGGAGACCAGGGCCAGGATGAACTGAGTGAGCTGGCAGGACCCAGCGATTGGGCCCAGGGTCCCTGCTGCGCCCCGGGCCTGGGGTACCCGCCAGCACTCCCAGGTGCCCAGAAAGGCCTGGCAGGACAGTCGGGGGGCTGGCTGGCACTGGCGCCCCTAGCGAAAGGCCCGTGTGGGTAGGGATGGGCCTCGGCCTGGACTGGTCAGCCTGGAGTGGCGAGGAGGTGGAGATAAGGCGGGGGCCAACCCGAGGTGGCCTCCCGCCATTGGCCCTGGCAAAGGGTCTGGGCCGAGATTCAGGGGTCCTGGAGTCACCCCCTGCTGGCCGAGCCAGCACCTGGACATGAAGAAAGGACTCAGCCCTAGGCAGCCCGCAGGCTGTCAGGGAGGAAGCCGGGTCCTGGGGGCCGGGTGCATGAGGGGCAGGGTGGTGCGTGCCCGGGGAGCACCCAGCCCACCCGCCGCCTGCCCCCAGCCCCCTCAGCGCCCATGCAGAGCATCTCCAGTGGCCTCAAGGAGACCATGAGCCCGCAGGACATCGTGCAGGACGCCATCCACAACTTCTCACCCGCCTACCAGCAGTACACGCAGCAGGCCACGCAGGAGGCCCCCCAGCCGGCCCAGGGCAGAGCGCCATCGCCCCGCACGCCCCCCCACGGCCCGGCTGGCGGCCCCCGTGGGGGCAGGAAGGGCCGCAACGTGGAGAAGAGGATGCTGATACCCACGGAGGAGCTGTAGGGGGCCCGCGGTCAGCGGCCGCCCGGAAAGGACAGGGCGCCCCGCCCACTGACCATCTTGTCAAAGGGCAGGCCTCTCCCGGGAGCGTCCTGCCCACCCGCCTGCGGCGGGTGGAGTGGGTCACCTGGTGGCCCTGCCAGGCGCCCAGGGCCCGCAGCCCCAGAAGAGGGCACTCGCGCCCCCCAGATGGCCCCAGGGAGCCGCCAGGCTCCCTGGCTGTCAGCCCAGGCGGCCTCCCTGCAGGGACAGACCCCAGGCGGGGCAGCGATGGGGAAGGACGCTGGGCGGCCCCGAGCCGCGGGCCGCACAGCTGGGGGCGCTCCACGCGGGCTGCGGGAGGCAGGGCGGCCCATGGAGGGGTGGGTGTGCTGGCCGTGGCCTGGGGGAGGGGCAGGGACCCCAGCAGAGGGCACGGGGTCTCCTGGTGACCTGCACTTATTTATACATAAACAGCCAAGTTTTCTCGTGCCTCCAGCAGCCTGTGTCCCTGCAGGGTCAGCGCTCTGACGGACAGATCGCAGGGTGGGGGGGGACAGTCTGGGTGCTGTGGGCAGGGTCTCGTCCACCGTGGGGTGGCCGGCCATGGTCACAGCTCCAAGCAGGTGGGCGAGGGGCTTGGACCTGAGATGGGGTGGCCTGCCCCTCGCGGGCCCTGATATCCAGAGCCTCCGCTCTCCCGGTTCGAGGCCCCATGCCTCCCTGCCTGGGATGGGTTCATGAGGCTGGGTGTGCAGAACCCAGAGGCCAAGGAGGGGACTGGTCCCTGGAACCGCCTCCTTGGCCTCTCCTCTTTCCGTGCCAGGCTGGCGCGCGGGGGAGGCCTGGGACCTGGGAGGGGGAGCGGAAGCAGGGCAAGTGGGAGTGGGCCCCAGGCGTCAGGGGTCAGCAGGGCAGGGCAGGGGCGGCAGACAGCCGGGAGGCCGAGTCGGTCCAGGGTGTCTGGGGGAAGGAGCAGGGCGGGGGCCTGTGGCGCGGCTGGGGGGGCAGGAAGGCCCGGCACCACCCAGCTGCGACACCCCCACGCCTCCCAGTCGCGGGCTCCCACGTCACCAGGGAAAAAGGGAATGGCAGAGCGGCTCGGAGAGGCTCAGCCAGGCAGGAACGGCCTGCGGTGAACGGGCCAGAGCGGGTCACCCCTGGGCCTGGGGACGTGGGGCTCAAGGCCAGCGGCCTCTCCCAGGGCCCAGCCCGCCTGCCTGATAAGATAGGCCGGCCTCCTCCCTGCCGCCCCCTGGGAAGTCCCCACCTGCCTTATCGCCCTCTGCGGCTGTCAGACCCAGCTCGGGGAGGCCCCTCGTCTGTCAGCTGCTCTGGAAGCAGCCACAGTGCTCCCCAGAGACCCGCCGGCCCAGGAGGGAGGTTTTCTGGAGGCTGTAGGACAGGGGCCTGGCGCCCAGGCTCTGTGGTGAGCCGGGGGCAGGCAGCCTGGAGGCCCTTGTCCGCAGGGACCTCCTTGCGGCTAGAGTCGCCCAAAGCTATGCACCGGGGGAGCCCGTGGGCCAGGCCTCCTCCTGGAGCCCCCGAGGGTGGTGGGGTCCCGGCGGCAGGGGCACTCGGGAGCACCGGCTGTGTGTCACACTCACACACACACACACACACACACACTCTCCCGCTGTGTCACACACACACACACACACACACACACACAGCTCACGAAGGCTTGGGGAGGTTGAGCCACTTGCCTGAGGTCACAGAGCCGGGAAGCAGGGGGACGGCTCACCCTGGTTCTGCCCCGCAGCCCCTCTGCCTGCGGCCAGGCCCTCCTGACCTGACAGAGGGAGAGGATGCCTGGCTCCATGCCTCCCCTGCCCACACCCGCGGCTGCTGCCTGCCCTGGTCTCCGGGCCCGTCCTGCGGGTGCTGAGAAGGCCGTGGGGAGCTGAGTGCACCTGTACCCAGACCTGACTCCACGGAAGGGCGCTCAGGGCGCGCGCGGGAAGGAGCCGGCGGAGGCCACGCGGAGGCCGGGCGTGGACTCGCGCAGAGCGGCGGCTGGCGCTGAAGCAGAGTCCCTAGGTTACCAGGTGCTGCCCGGGTCAGCTCAGGCAGGGGTGGGCGGGAGGGACGCCAGTGGTCAGAAACGCCGATGAGCAGCTCCCCTGCAAGCCTGACTCTCTCCAGAGGCCGAGTGCTGACCTACCTGTCCCTCCACGGGTCCGTGGGGACGCGGAGGGGGCAGCATCTGAGGATGACGGGCACCCCACCGCAGCAGGCCCAGGCTGGCTGGGCCCCGGCACTGGCTTTCAGGGTAGCCTGCCTCTTTGCCTTCCCCCACACCCCAGGCAGACGCCAGCCCTGCCGCCTCCTGTGGGCCCACTGGAGCCCCAGCCAAGACAGCTGCGCGGGCGTCCGCGACGGGGTCTCCAGGCCAGGGCAGTGTGGTCCTGGGGAGCCCGCCCCCCGCCGCCTGGCCCCGCCCCACGCAGCCCGGCCCTGAGGGCGTGGTCGCGGCGATGTGGGGCACGTGCAGCGCGCCGACAGCCCCGTCGGGCAGTTCGACGACGTGAAACCAGAAAACTCTTTATTGAAAGGTACAAAAGCGTCACAGCAGAGATGTACAGCAATAAATTAGGTGTGGCCGGCCGGGTGCGCCGCTTCGCACCTCGGGGCCACGACATAGGGTCTCTTCTCAATAATTTATATCATGATAAAAGCAGCACAAAAATAAATATTGAAATGAAACTGCTGAGTGGCCGGAGGTGTGGGAGACGGGTGTGGAGCTGACGCGCAGGGCCCTGTCGCCCGGGAGCAGGGGGACGGGGCTGTCTTCTTAAATTAAAAAAAAAACCCATATATTAAAACTGTGACAATGAAACTCCAATGCTCTGAAAGGAGGAGGGGGCACACGGGTCTCCCAGGCCTGGTCCTGGGAGCGGGCGGCCCGGCGGGATCCCCGGCGGGCGGAGGCCCGAGGGCAGCACGGGGCGGTGGGCGGCCGACTTGAGAGGCCAGGCGTGGGAGGGGGTCTCCCCCCACCCACACTACCAGGGAGCTCTGCTCTATAAGAGATTTACAGTATCAAATAGGAAGAAAAGGTACGAAAATCTGTGCGATAAAATGTGTATATAATTTTTTATATAGATATATACTTTTCTCTCTTTTAAATATCCCCATGGTCCTTACTGATATCCAATGTGGATTACCTACCATGGCTATGGTACGGACAGCTTCTCTACACGCCCGCCTGGCTCTGAAGGGACCCAGACGTCCCCGAGGCCGTGCCTCCCCGACAGGGGGACGCTTTTCCCGTCTGCAGCCCTTGGGGCCCTCTGCCCTCCCCACACGCCACCTCCCCCTTCCAGGTGGGCCAACGGTGGGAAGCAAGCCGAGGAGCCAGAGCTGGAGCTCAGGGCTTCCGGCCTGCGGGGGGCTTGGGGCTCACCACCCACCCACCACCCGCCTCTCAGCCCGGCCCTTTCCCAAGAAGGGCGGGAAGGGGCGGCCAAGCCTGGCCACGGTCAGGGAAGGGGCGCCCAGCAAAGGCCACTGGATCGTCAGTGGCTCCGAGTGCCAAGAAGGAAGAGCGGATGAAGGCTCCAGGCAACGACTAAGCACCGCGGTGGCCTCTGCCGGCCGATCATCCGAGCGCCCCCGGGAGGCAGCTCCTTGGGCCCGGCCCAGCCCCGTCCTCACCTCCCCCACCATCAACACTCCTCGTCCTCCAACCCACCCTCCTCCCTGCTTTCCATCTCATCCAGCAGGGCCTCGGCTACTGCCAACTTCACACCTGCTCCCCACAGAATGTGCCCCCCTCCTGCCCCCCAGGGCTCCCCTCTCCTGCCCAGGCGGTTGCTGCTCCTCGCTGGGGACTGCCCCTATGTCACCTGACAGGGAGAGGAAACCCAAAGCTTGGACGTGCCCCAGGAACAAGCCGCTCCCGGAGGCCCCCAGAGCGGCTGGCGCCCCAGCAGGATAGCAGGTACACGTGTGCGCATGTTCACACGCACAGGTGTGTGCAGGCTGGCATACCCTGGCACACGCGGTCAGCCCTTCCTCCGCCCACTCAGGGGGTCTGGGCCTCTGGCCGAGGCTGCAGCAGGATCACAGTGTTTGGGCCCCGTGGAGGGCGGTTCCTCCAGGGCGCCCAGGCGCAGTCGGCGTGTTGAAGGGGTGCTGGCCCAGCTGGGGGCCCGTGCGGGGTGTGGACACACTGCCGTGCGTAGACGAGCAGCTCGAGGGAGGGGTGGAAGACGTCTGGGCCGGGGGCCTCCTGAGAGCCTTCGTCCACACACCCTGCCCCTGCCGGCGCCGGACAGAGAGCCCGGGAGGCGGCCGGAAGCGGGAGACGGCCCGGAGTGGGCGGCGGAGCCCGGGGCAGGCGGGGCGTGCGGTGCGCGTGGGCGTGCGAGTGTGCAGAGCGGGCGGCGCGCGGAACGCCCTCTGTTCCCGCCTGCCGGCCCACAGGAGTCCACAAGGTCCACTCTCCGCGGGACCGCGCCCCTCGGCCGGGCGGGCACTAGGAAGCGGCCGAGAAGGGCACGGAGGCGGAGGCGGCCATCTCGGCAGACTTGACGATGGTGATGACACTGGTGGTGGCCACCTTGGTGGGCGTGACAGGGCCGCGGGCCACGGTGCGGGCGAAGGTCTGCAGCGCCTCGTACTTGGAGCGCAGGGCATCCAGCTCGAGCCGCATGCTGCTGTTCTCGCGGGCCAGCTTCTCCACCTCCTGCTGCAGCTCCACGCGCTGGCGCTCCAGCTCTTCCTTCTGCGTCACGCGCTTGATGCGGCAGCTGGCCGCGTAGCCGCGGTTCTTGAGAGTGCGGCGCCGCTGCTTCAGGCGCACCACCTCCTCTCGTGTGAGGCCCCGCAGGTGCTGGTTCAGCTCCCGCACCGACATGGACACCAGCTCATCGTCGCTGAGCGCTGCGGCGTTCTCGCCCGCCTCCTTCTTGACCTGCGGGGCCGCGGGTGCGCGGTCAGCTCCGGGGGCCAGTACTCAGGCTGTGAGCGGTGCGACAGGCCAAGCCCCTCTGCCCCCCAGGCTGCCCCCCCACCAGGCCCGAGATGGGCACTGCGGCCTCACTGGGCGTCGGGCACGTACCGCGCTGGGCGCAGAGCATCCCAAGGGAGCCGTTGGCTACGGCCTGCTGTGAGCCGGCTATCTCAACCCTGCGAGGCCCACCCAGCTACGCTGCCCTCTGGGAACCTCCAGTACCTGGTGCGGGCTGCTGGGCTCCTTAGCCCAGCCCTGCCCTGCCCGCCCCTCGGGTCCATGGGGTGTCCCCAAGGCCACCTTGACCCAGCAGGACCCAGCAGGGGCCTGGAGGTCTGCAGGCCACACACACACACAGACACGGAGAGCCAACTCCGGCCAGCCCCAGGGGGCTCTGCGGGACCACATCCAGGTGCTGGGCTGACAAGCACATTCCGGCCGGCAGGCACCCACCCCTCTACCCCAGCGTCTCCAGAGGCCGCAGCCCTGACTCTTCCCTCAGGTACTTCCTCCGGCCCGCGGCCCCCTGCCCACCTTGCTGACTGGCACCCTTCCGCACACGCCAGGGCGGTCCCGGGGCAGAGAAGGGGCTGCGCCCACCCTCCCTTACCTTCAACGCCTTGTTCGCTTTGGGATTAGTCGTCATAACCTGGGCACAGTCACCCGGACAGAACCACCTGGAAATGGTAGCTGGAAATCAGAGAGACGAGTGCAGTCAGTTTCTGGCAGGGGCTGGGGGGACAGGTCGCCGTCACAAGTGACCCGAGTGGGGACGGCCCCCTGCAGGGACACCCGGGAGGCTCTGCTCCCCAGTCCGCACCATCCGGTCACAGCACCCTGAAAGCAAGGGCATCCTGGTGGGCCTGAGCCTCTGTCGAGGGCGGAGGGGACGCCGGGTCACGCCCTCCAGTCCAGCATCCACGCTCGGGGCGGCCTGGACGCACCTCGTCTGGGGTCCAGCGGTCACCTGGCTGTCGCGCCCGCAGGGCCCTGGCCACGAGCGCCAGCACCAGGCAGGAGCCGTGGCTGCTCCGGCCCTGAGCTGGATGGCAGCACCGGGGCAGCGCGTGGGACGCCTCGCCCAGGGCTCCACATGTGCAGCAGCAGAGTCCCTTCCTGGGAGGCCACACCTCAGCTGAGAAGCGCGCCGGCCCCAGGGACGTGCCCACCCTGGCGGGACCCTGTCGCCCTGGGCCCACCTGGCCCCCGACAGGAAGGCCCCCTTTGGGGAACTCCAGCCTTGCTGAGCTCGCCCCCACGCCCAGTGGGGGGAGCCCCACCCTCCCCGGAAGACCTACCTCCTCCAAGGGCACTGCAGCGGCGACATCACCCCCTCCACTGAGGCTGCCCCACAGCCGTGACCCGAGGCCAGGAGGGTGGGTGGGGGCTCCCGACGTGGGCCAGCCCAGGACTGGGGGAGCGGGAGCCGCTGCCTCCAGCGCCCACCGACCGTCTGGCGGGAGCTGTCCCCGCCGCCCGCCAGCCCCCACCGCCCGCCCTTCTCATTTTCGCGTCTGCATTGTGTCACACATTCTAATCATTCATGAAAAATCCAGCCAAAGCATCCCAAGCATGATTCCCCTCAGATAGTTGCCATGGCGACCTTGGGACGTAGCCAGCCCCTGATGGTCGTCATGGAAACGGAGAAGCCCACAGCAACAATGGCTTTGGGCAAGCCGCACTGACAGCGCAGGTTGTGGGCAAGCGGGCCCCCCAGGCCTGCAGCCGGGCGAGGCATGCGGAAGACCCGGCCCCAACTCCCGCACGGGTCTCGGGCCCACGGGCACCCCGAGAGGAACTGAGCAGACAGAGACGCCTGAGGAGGGTCTGGGGGCGGACATGGAGGCTCAGCAGAGGCGCCGTCTCCAGGTGAGGGAGGCGTGCTGGGCCGCCTTCCCCTGGAGCCCCGAGACCCTCACGGTGGCACCGCCGGGACCCCCCAGGCACCAGCCCCGCCTCTGGCGGCCCGCCCACCCTTCAGCACCCTGGCCTGTGCCCCGTCTGCTCTCCCAGCCCTGGAGGCACCGGGCCCCCGGGCCCTCGTGAGCTCGCGCATGTGCCCACGGTGGCCCCACCAGGAGCTGAGGGCTGCAGCCTGGCTGCGGCCTGACCCCTGGGGACCCAGGGCGCCCTCTGGGCCACCCTTCCCTGGCTCGGGAGTCAGCCTGGGCCTGGAGAAGCCACTGGGAGGGCCGGCAGGCCGGGTGGCTGAGAGGCCATGAGAAACTTCTCTATGCTGAGCAAGGAGGGGCCGCGATCCTTCCAGCCCGCTCCCAGCACGCCAGGGCATAGCTGGGTGGTGAGTCACCAGCTGTTTACAGAGCCGGGCTCACATTCCCACAGGCGGAGGCCCCGCCCACCCCGGTGGGAAAAGGAAGGGCAGGGGGCCTGCGCTGGACCAAGCAGACCCTCAGGACCTGCCAGCCCGGCCGGGGCTCCAGCGCCTTCCCAGGGGTGCCTCCCCTGGGGACCTGCCTACCGTGATGTCACCCGGCAGAGTGCCCAGGGCCCAGGGCCCCCGTCCACCGGGTCAGGTTTGCTGGGGCAGACCCCAGGCCCCCCATCTGCCCATGCTGAACCCACCGGGTCCGCCTGGCCTCCAGGCCCGGGGCGAGGAGCGCAGCCTGGCTGGGGTTCCCCAGGGGCCTGCCCTCAGGGGCCTTTACCCAGTCCTTAGGGCCCCACCCAACCAAACGGAGCCAAGGGGCTAGACCCCAGCCTCTGAGACAAGCTGGGGGTGACAGACCCTCTCTTCTCTGTGGCTCTTGGTTTTCTCTTCTGAAAAATGTGGGGCTCGGAACCAAGGGCCCAGCGCCAAACGTCCTCAGCTGGGCCACTCCAGTGACACTGGGAGACACACCCTGACCCTGGGCGCTCACCCCAGGGTCTGCACCAGGACCCCCACCCCACGGGGAAGGGGGGTGAGCCACAGGCAAGCAGATGCCAGCCGGCCCTGCCCACTGTCACAACCCCCACAGACCTGGGTGCTTCAGCGCTCGGCTTCCACCCGCTGAGGGCCCCGGGGACTCAAGGCAAAGTCAGGCTGTGGGTCGGCAGGCCGAGAGCCCTCCCGTGGACTCAGTGTAGGGACGGGAGCGGCAGGCTACTCGCCTCTCCCCAAAACACCCCCAGACCGACCTGATGTCACTTCAGGCTTCAGAAAACAACAGCCCGCTTTTGGAAAGAGGTTCAGAGAAGGGTTTTGCAGGTGTGAAAGAGAGTCTGTAGGATAGCTGACTGGGGAAGAGCCGCCCTGAAAGAGTGTTTGTGACCCCTGCAGCAGTGCGGGCCAGCGGAGCTCACAGGCGGGGACCCGGCAGGGGGAGACGGTGGCCAGGGGCGGGCAGGGCGGGCAGGGCGCGCAGGGCCAGCGCTGCTGCGTCAGAGCCTGGACCCTCCACACACCTTCCCGACAGCCTGGCCAGCAGCTCGTCATGGCGGCGTCACCTGCAAAGCTGGGCCGGCAGGCTGGGACCCCAGATGGGGCTGCCTCAGCTCCCTCTCCCGCCCCGGGAAGCCGCTGGTCCAGCACGCACAGCCAGCACCTCTCCCAGGAACACCTCCCAGCCAGCTGTTGGCTAAGACGCTGCTTTTCAACCCAAAGCCAGAAACTCCATTCCGATGTCCAGCTGAACACCAAACAGGGCGTTCCCTGTAAGGAAGGGGAACCCAGCAGCCTAGACAGAGGCAACCCCGAGGACCACACGGTCTATAGTGGTCTGCAGTAAATTTGGGAGCGGCCCTCCCCTTCTGGGCCAGTGAGAAACAGGGCAGGGTAGGGAGCCCGGGTCTGACAGAGCAGGATGGCCCTTCCAGGAGGCAGGTGAGCCCGGGCCAGGCTCTCTTCCTGCCCTCCTTCTCTCTTGTCCCTGCCGCGGCTGAGATCTGGCTCCTGGGGTGACGCACGGCCTGGCCGGCCCCTGTGTGCTCCAGCCCTCCCTGGGCTAGGGCCCAGGGAACCCGTTCTTCATCAGCGCAGCCACTGGTAAAGGGGAGCGCGACCCACCTGGGCAGCCCTGGGCTTAGATTCCCCAGGAGCAAAGGGGGCCTCGAGAGGCTCAGACTCTCACCAGACTGCACGACCAGTCTGCACGCCAAGGTCGTGAGCCCGGGCGGGAAAAGCCGAGTCAACATTGAGCAGGGCAGGCTCAGCCCGAGAGAGGGGGATGGAGCGGACCTTCCACTCCCAGGCCTCGGGGGCCTCTGGGGGGAGGGGACAGGTCACCGTCACGGCAGCCAAGAGTGAACCCCAAAGCCTGAACCACCATGCCTGCTGCCTCTGCTCTGGGGACCGGGGCCTCCTCTTCAGAGACCCCCGGCCAACTGCCCCACGGCAGGTGCCTGTCTCCCAGACAAGCACCGATCGGCTCATCCGTCCCAGAAAGGAGCCAGCAGAGGCAGGGCCCAGAACCCGGAGGGCACCCACCGCCTGCGCCAGCTCCCTGAGATGGGGGTGTGTCCCGCCGCGCCCTGCCGGCCACCCCACCGCCCGGCCCGCACCCAGCCTGCAGGCTGGCCCTGGCTGGCTGCCCTCCGGCAAGACGTGACTGTCTGCCTGGCCTGGAGGGCGTCTGGTCACCTTGCCTTTGCAGCCTGAGGAAGCTGTGTCATCCTGGCCACGTCCAGAGGTGACTCAGGCGGCTGCCAGGCTGACAGCAGGCTGAACGATGCCCCACCCCCACCACCCAGCTTCAGGCAGGGCCCCTGCTCCCCCCCAGCCCAGCGGGGCCGACCAGGGCTCCGACCAGCCCCACCTCTCTGTCCAGCCAGGAATACGATAGCCGTGGAGCACCCCAGCCTGCACGGTCCCAGAGACGTCCCCTCTTGCACCGCGCTCCTCCTGGGTCTCCAGCTTGGGTGGCGGCCCCAGGCCTCCCCTCCCCTCTGCGCCCACCTGCTGTCTTGGCCCACATGCCCTGTGATGCTGCAGCCCTCCAGCACCGCTGGGCACGGGCCCCCGAGTCTGGTCTGGATTCCCATCCCAGTGCCTCAAACGCAGCTCCCACAAGCAGGCGGGGCGAGTCCCTCCTGAAGCCGCCACTCCCAGGGCCACCTGGTGCCATGCCAGGCCTCCCCCACGAGCTTCCTGAAGCCCCCGCCCATCTGTGCCGGGGACCCTCCTGCTTCCGAGCACCTGCCCCTCCGCCGTTGCCCCCTTCCTTCCCTCGCTTCGCGTGCAGGAGATGGGCGCCCCCCTCCTGAACACGCAGCCAGGGCAGTGCCCGGATGGATGGCAGGGGCACTCTCACCTCCCCGCTCCCCACGACTCCTGGCAGGTGGAAGGTCTGCTGCATGAGCAGGTGCCAGCACCTGCATGAGGGAGAGGGCTGGGGCAGCTTCCACCCCGTCTCCTCTCTGCCCCTCTGCCCAGGGCACCCAGGTGGGCAGTGAGGAAAGGCAGGCAGTGCGCGTGGGGCTGTTTCCTCAGCAAGAACCTGTAGACTGTTCTGTAGACTGAGACCCCACAGGTTCATCTCCACCTGCTCTAAAATCCTACGATTGTGAGATGACACTCTCAATTTCCTGAAACTGTAAGAAAGAGGAAACATGACGAGTCTGTGACTTATAAAAAGCAAAAGTAAATGCCGGAGCGATGCACCTTCCATCAGCCGGGAACAGGGAGGTGGGGAGCAGGGCGGAGAGTGAGTCACTGTTTACGGCCCGAGGGGCCGCCCCCACCGGCCGGGGCCCCACTTCCCGTGCGGACCGGACCTGCTGCCCAGAAAGTCCATCCAGAAACCTTTAGACTCAGGAACAGCTAGGACACAGGCAGGAATCCGAGGTTGCCTGAGACTGTAAACAACTCTCCAGCTATGGCAGAGCCTGAGGGTGAAAGCACGCACCGCAGTAGACAAAGAATGGTCCGGAAAACGACCTCGCTTGGCGGCAGCCTCAGCCCTCAGCCGCAGGGCTGGAGAAAGGGCTGGAACGCAGCAAGCCCCGGAGCCGACTTCCCCAGTAGCCGCGATTCAACTCCCATTTTTAGCAACTACCTTGAAAGTGAGCGATGCTGAACTTGGAAGCTATCCCTTAAAGGCCAGCCCTGCTCCAGCACGAGACGCAAACGCGCTCGGGCGAGAAGCCTCACTTGTGGTTCTGAATTAATAAATGTTTTATTCTGGAATACCGAGAGGTCCAGCTTAAAGTTGTGAGAGCAGACATCCTCTACCGAGCTCAAACATTCCTACTGGACCCAGGGAGGGAAGTTCTCGGATAGGAGGCAACCATCCACAATGCAACAAGTTGCACGTGTGCCCCACCCACCTGCACAGCCCACCTTCAGTGTTCCAGGCCCTCCCACCTGCTTAAAGGAACGCTTTTTTAAAAAGGGTCACCGCCCCCCCCCAACCCCCAGCCAGCAAAGACATCAGGCTTGCGGACTGGGCTGCAGAGATGGCAGCCAGGGCATTCGGCAACACTTCATTAAGACTCCTGTGTAGCAACCCGTGCTGGCAAAACCTGGCCGATGCCAACAGAGGGGCGAGGGGAAGGCAATGGGCAGCCAGGCCACACTGCCCGGAAGCCACCCATCTGTCACCATGGGACCTCCAGATAACAGACACCTGGCAAGGGGGGGCTGAGTGGCAGCCAACTCTGAATGAACTGTCAGGGGGAGGATCTCACTTCTCTAGGCTACCCTACCGTGGGGAAGGTAAACAAGAGCGTAATCATTAACACAAGACGGAGAGCAGGGGACTTCCAGCAACGCGGCCTCCGGCTGCTCCCGGAATGTGAGCAGAAGGGGCGAGCGCCGCTTGGGTGAGGGCTCCGGGACACGTGGCGAGTGAGGACACTGCTTCGGGGGGCAGGGGACGGGCGGGGGCAGGGCAGAGCGACCGTGCTTTCCCAACACAGACCCGAGGCCAGGTGGCGGGGCAGGTGTGTGGAAGCGCGCAGTGTCCGGAACTCTGCAGAAGTAGTGAATGGCCTCTGTTTCCAGTTAGAAGAGGCGGAGACCCCCACTCACTGAGGAGAAAGATGAGACGCGAGCCACGGGCTTCGAGAAGCGACGCGCTCGTCGCCCCACTCCCCACCCCAAGCTCCCACGCCGAGGCCTCCCTCGGTGAACCCCGGCAGGTCGGCTGCTCGGACAGGGACCCGGTCAGCGAGGCCCCTGCTCCTCGCCCTGCGCACGTCCGGCGCGGCGGGGACCCGGGGGCGCGCGGGCAGCGCAGGCCGGGCCTGAGCGCCGCCGGGGCGGGACCGCGCCGCCGAGCCGGGCAGCGCCCAGGTGCGCGAGGCCCGGGTCGCCCGGGTCGCCATGCGCTCCCCGGCACGTGGCCCCCGCTGCGCCCCCGCTTCCCCCAAGCGCATCTCCGGGGACCCGGAGGGCAGAACAGGTGGGGCGGGCCGGGCAGGGGCGCCAGGCCCGCCGGAAAGCCGCGCTGCCCACCCGTCCCTCCCCGGGCCCGCCTGGCACCTGCCGCCCCCGCGGACGCGGGCCGGGGCTCAGGGATGGGGGCGCGCCCCCGAGGAAGGGCCCCCCGCCCGCACGGCGCGCTCGGGGCAGAACACCCGACCGCAGGTGCGCCGGCCAGGCCGGGGTCCCGAGGTCCGACACCAGCAGCCGCGGGTCCGAGGCGGCAGAAGACTCGGCGGCGGGCGCCCCCCGGGCGGCCCCTCGGCCCCCCGCCCGGTCCCACCCGGCCGCCCCTCACCTGGCGTCGCGCGGGGGGCGCGGGCGCGCGGCGGCTCCTCGCGGGCACGCGCTCTCCTCGCGCTCAGTCTCGCGCTTCCCGTCGGCCGCCGCCTCCGCCGAGCGCTCGGGCTCCGACCTCGCGGAGAACAACAAGTCCCCCCCGCCGCCCGCCGCCAGCCCGCCCGCCCGGCTCCCCAGCATCTGACACCGCTTCCGGGATCGGCGTCGGGGCGCGTCACGCCGCCCCGCCCACCGCGCGCGCCGCCCCGCCCATCCGCCGCCGCGCGCGCGCGCCGCCCCGCCCACTCGAGGCACCACCCACCGCGCGCCGACGCCCCGCCCAGGCCCCGCCCACCCGAGGCTCCGCCCCCGAGCCCACCTGCGCTGAGCGAACCGGCCGTACCTGTGACCGCAGGTGCAGCGCGCGTCGCGCGGTGGCGGCAGCAGTCCCCCGACGTCGAGAGCCGGGAGCACCCCCAGTCTCCCCGTCGCTTGTCCGCTGGCAGCTCGGCGGGAGGGCAAACTCCTGTCTGTAATCCACATCCATATTCTCCAGTTGGCCTCCCAAACCTCAACGCCCCCCACCTCCCAGGCCCTCTCGTCCCCGAGATTCACTAGGGCTCTCAGAGACCCCGATCTCCCCAGGATTAGCTGCAGCAGAAACCCCTGTTGGGGAGCCCCTGTTGGGGACAGTCTGGTGGTTTTGTCAGGAGAGGAGGTGGGTCTGGGACACACCAACCTCCCTGTCTTGGTGGGGGGGCTGGCCCCACCAGTGAGGGACGAGCCCTGACATGATAGACACCCCTGTCTTTTGATTTCCCGCTTTGGCCAAGACACGGGTAGAGAGAGCAAGATAAAGTGGTGTTAAATGGCTTCAACCCAGAGCCTCAGCGTTAAGGGGCTCCAAGACCCCTGGCCTGGAAACAATGCCCACCTAAGGCCCAGCTGATGGTTGCTGTGGGGAGGCAGACCCCGAAAAGGCAGAATAGGATGCTGCCCGGCCTCAGGCCAGGGCCAGGCCGGGGGAGGAGAGCCCCCTCCGGCTGCACGGAAGCTGGGAAGCTGACTCGTGCGGGCACACACCCCGACCCACTCCCCTCCGCAGCACTTGGATGGGAGGCTGGATCCCTGGACGGTTTCTGGATCCTCTCGGAAATAATGAGCTACGTCCATGAGGCCGCATTTCTGAGTTCTGAGAGAGCAGGGAAAGTCGCTCAGGCTGGTGTGGGGGTGGGGGGCCTGAACCATCTTGGTCCTTTCAGAGTGTATCCCGGCAACAAGCGGGGGAACGTGCCAGGGGGGTTTCAGGCCCCCCGTCTGCAGCCCCCAGACAGGTGGGCTTCCTTCTGAGCGACCTGGCCCCGGGGGGCCACCAGGCACGCTGGAGTTTGCAGCAGTAACAGCTGCCAACAAACACAGCCACATTCGCCTCTCCAGGATGTTTTCAGAGCTGGAATTTGAAAGGTGTTTCCCCTTCTCCCAGCCCACGCCCTCC